CAATCCCGCCTCGCTTGTCCAGGATGTGATCCTTTGGGGATGCTTCCCGCCCCGTGCATCGTTGTGTGGCTCCAGGCGGCAACCAAAGGGGTGTGCCATGTGGCAATAGTGCAATGATCAGGATAATAAACTATTTATGGGCGATTTGCTATTAATAATAAATTTATTTGTCGACTTTTGTGAAATATGCACCAGCCCAGGAACACGACGTTTGGAGCCGAATCGTATTTGTCGTGTGAGTGTCATCGGCGTGCTTGGGAGGTCCCCAATGACGTCCCCGGGGGGCCCGGACGACATCGGCACTACCAGATTTGGACTCAGCGTGCGAGAAAACCCCCGAACACGATATTTCAGTCATCCTGGTCGTTCCGAGGTTGACGGTCGGTCGGTCGGCCAAACCGTATCTTATTTTGACAGCCCCAGGGCTCACACAAAACTAAAAATATCAACAAGAAAAATAATAATAATTAATAACAACAACAACAGTAATAATATAAGTGTATGTTTATTTATCATATTTACATATATTACAGGTTGTGCTTCACTTAATTAATCAGGTACTCAGTGATCAAAAACATAATTAAACTGATCTCCGTATTTGTCTCGAAATCGCTTCCTGTCTAACTTATTTAAATCAGCTGCCACTCTTCTCATTGATGATCTGTCAAAGAAGCAAAATGTTAAATAGTATACCAAGCGTAAAGTCTCTTGTTTAAAAAAAATAAAAATCTTTTTAAAAATTACTTTTCAAAGACTTTTTTTGAAAGTCTATTGTAGGTTGTATTGTGGCTGGCCTTAAGGTCAGTTAAGCCAACGTATTTCTTCTCTTCTGGTTTATGCTTCCTCCATCCTCGTTTGGTTTTATCTGGCATTCTCAAATCCATACCAGTAGACTCCTGTTAAAAGATAGTAATGGTAAACTAATGTCAGCTCCCTAATGCACAGCCTGAGATGAGCAAACTACAATAATGATGAGGAACCTACTTTGAGCTCTGCGAGGAGTTTCGGATCTTGCCAATCAGGAACTTCATTTGCTTTTTCTAATTCTAAACGTTCTAGCTCAGCTTGCTGATCTTCAGGAATAGTTGGTTTTCCTACTTCATCTCTGGCAATGATTTTCCCGTGAAATGGACACTGTTCCAACAAACATATGAAGATCCACCAGTTCAATTGGTTTATGAGTAAGAGTATAGCAATTTCGCACTGAACAACAGACATTACCTTAACTCTATCCTGTCTTGGACATAATTTTCCACTAGGAAGTGGAGCTCTGCAAGTCCATTTTACTTTCTCAAAGTTCCCAGTGAACTCAATAACTCGAGTGCGCAGGCTAGCTTCACCATCTGGATCACGAATCTCATCTCTGTCTTCTGCAGTCTTTTGCCAGAAGCGATGACCATCTGGTTTGACACTTTAAAGTCAAACAATTTAATGTAGGTAAGGCGAAGAGAATACTTTGTTCCTTATTGTACTCACGTAAGTCTAGTTGGAGCTTCTATCTTCTCATCCTCCCAGTGGTACAAATCAATATCAAATGGTAATTTTGGTGCAAGTGAAAGAAGTTTTGCCTTTCTATCATCTGATGGACCAGGCTGGTCATGGAAGCTGGGTACATCTGAACAGGATTTCTCTTGCTCTACAACAAATTTACTCTTTTCTCTATTATTACAGGATAAACTGGTTGAGGGTGAACTTTTACTTGTTGAAGGTGCCACCTCTGATGTTTTACTAGAGAAAGTGGATAATGTACTGAAAACAGATGTAGGGTCCTGGAAAATATCAAGGTACACTAAGCACCCGAGCCAAAGAAAAAATAAAACATCATAATTGTGGATGCTATAAAGACATTCTGCTTACCTTTTCATTATTTTCATCTGAGATTAGAGACCAATCTTTCTTATTTCCTCCCTTGGATGCAGAGCTTTTCTTCTGTGAGGTATCATCTTTCTTTGCTGGGCTAGGTTTAACAGGAGCTGATTTAGAAAATGCTTCAAAACCAGCTTTATTTTGGACTTCTTCAAAATCTGAATCTGAAGTATCACTCTCATCTACATTTGAAATACACACAAAAATAACAGCTGAATTTTAATATGGAATAAAAAACAATTTAAAGTACACTACAATAAAATATTAAAACATACCACTGGTTTTTCTAAGAACTTTTTTGTGGAAAGCTTCCATATTGAGCCTTTTGTACTTGTCAACAACTGTTTCCAGCCTAGATTTTAGCTCATTGATTCTCAGGGTAACCTCTTTGACAGTTGGGTCATCAAGATCTTAAAGAGATAGCAGAGAAGTGAAATGCATGTAAAAATCATTGGGAAACTAATTATATTTTTTTTTATAGAGATTAGATTTTTCTAAAAATATGTTATTTTGTTTTAAATAAGACATACCTGAGCATTTCTCCAATATAGTTTCCCATTTCAAGATACATGGATGATATCGAGCTGTAACAACTTTAAATAATTCCTCAGCACTCTCAAATATAGGTGCATTCTCTTCAGTCTTTTTAACTAGAGGTTCACTGCCTTGAGCTATCAACATGGAGATTATGTTAAAGAAACATATTTTTAACATGAGCATTAACACTAACAGTAACACTCATACATACCAGGATCAACTTTTAGAGTAATACTGAAATGTGGATTAATTATTCCATATTTTCTAAAGTCAAAGATTGGATTCTTTGACAAACAGTCTTCTTCATCGTCACTCTCAGATGATTCAACTTTACTATTAGACAGTGAGCTGGGAGTTTTACAATAGTCTTTGGAGCTGCTTTGGTCCCGTGTATCTAGATCATGTGCTTCCTCTAATTTTTTAGTATCCTCATATCCTTGTAGCTCAGCTTCACCATCAATGAAAAAATCTTCAGGTCTGGGTAGCAGAAGACTCAAGCAATTATCCATTTCTGTTAAAGCACTTATTATATCAGGCTGCTTTTCTGTTCAGATGAAGAGATAACAAAAATCAAAATAGGTGTTAATTGTCTACCAAATTAAAATTGAAACTTTTTAAAAATAAATGTAAAAAAAATGTTTACCAACCCTTGATTTCAATCACAACTTTCTTAAAATGTTCATTCTGGATGGCTTTTTTCCTTCTTTTCAGCTCTTCTTCACGAGAATGTTCTGCAGCTTCTTCAAGTGCCATAGCGTTCAAATCAACCTTCAACCAGAAACGGTATTAACACAACGTAAAACAATCTGCTTTGAGTTCAAGATTATAAGAGCTGCAATTACCCTCTTGCAGTTTTTGAGAAAAGATATCCCAAGATGTAATTTCTTGTATCCACTTCCATATTGCTTTGCCCAGTCTCGTATAGTGGTAAGGGCTAGTTTCTTTAGGGACAGGGCAGTTGACCGAGGCTTAGGCAAAGGCTTTGAAAGGTCTGTCTCTACAGTCAATGCCATAACTTGTTCTAAGTTTGACACGAGCAATTCACGAAAGCAGTGTGAGCGCCTGAATGGCAATTCATAAGTTAGAAACATGAATACAAACAAACATATGTATATTTAGGAACAGTTTTCACAAAAAATCACAGATGATACAGTAACCCCTAAACTTACTTAAATAGTTCAATACAAATCTGAAAACAACTCAATCGCACTTCTGCATGATTGGCCTCTAGATATCCTATCAACAAATTGTAGGCATGTATGACATAGTCATTGGAAATTCTGAAATGTGCACATCAACATTGTTAAAACAGTCATTGTTTATTTTTTCGGAACTGTATGAAGATAGATTGTTTGATTGTGCAAACTTACTTGCATATCCTGGTGATACCTTTCAAGACAGGAGGATCCAACTCTTTCTCACCCGTGTGAGTTAAGGTTGTAATTAACTTTTTCAGTTCTTTGAACTGATCAGTTTTAGAAGGAGACTGCTCCATAATTGTTTGAGAGCAATGTCCTAAATTGTTTTACACTTTCAACCTCAATCAAAACACAACACAGTTCACCGTTCACTTTAGTTGCACCACTTGCACTTGACAGATTTTTGCCTACATGTGAGTTTCTCATCCTTGGGCATTCCCACCAACCGTCTCTTTTCAGGAAGGCTTAGACTTCCACTCACGGCCTTGCTAAAAATGTCGAAAGAACGCTAACTTCAAAGAAAATGGCTGCCAATCAACCCGCGAAGCCTCGACTCAAATCATCCGGTAAAGTGACCAGATGTTTTATTTTCGTTGATTCTCACTGTGTTAATTGTAAAGTTACTACATTTTTTGTGATGGCAATCTTTAGTTCCTTAAGCATTTTTTGAAATACTGTATATGTTGTTTGCATCGCTTGCTTGCTATCGGTATTGACTTATTTGTTTCCGAAACCCAAGCCCCAAGCCAAGGTTGCGTTCTCAGAACTCTTTGCCTATTTCTGAAGATTAATACCTTTAGAACCATTACTATGACATGTCTTTTCACAACTCGAAAGGGGTCTCTCTTAAATTTAAATCGCCTCTAAAGAATGACTCCCAACCAGTAAAATTGGAAAAAGATGCAATTGAAGAGTATCAAGTATTAGTAAAAAGAGATGCATCTCTAGATGATGACATTTCAGTGTTGTCATCCACTTGTGCATCCTCATCAAATAATGTCGCCAGTGTAGTGAGTTTGTTACATGAATTCAATGATATCAAAGATGTCACTCAAATTGTATTAGGAAAGCTGGCCTCTGTACAAGGGAAAACTCTGAAAGAATTACACGAGCAATTTGGACTTGAAGATCAAGAATGAGGTATATTTACATACTACCTTCCAATAAAATCTGCTATGTTTCGGCACTTAATTGTATCAAAATTTCCTTGGTTGGCATTCTCACACACTAGTCCTAGCAAACAAGGGGAGATTTTTCTTGTGAGACGGCGCTATCTAGACATTGAACTAATTCTCTGTTTAATATCCTTGCAGAAGAAGCCATGTCTTCATTAGATGAGAGCCTTCTCAGCATGGAGAAGTTAGACCGAACATCTCCAGAGCTCTGGCCTGAGCAGAGTAAGTTGAAAATCCTTATACAGCTCTTTTCTGTATCAAACAGTTAAGTCAAATAAATTGAACTTTTATGTTTCAGTTCCTGGAATGCTCGACTTTGCTCCCTTTTCATCTTTTGCAACAAATGGTGCCAAAGATGCATGGACAGCTGACTTTACAAGTGAAGATATGACTCTCCTGAATCGTAAGAAATAGTTCTAAAGATATATCCTTAATTTCTACGGCTTTTAATTCTCTTTATGTAACTTACTTGAATATTTCTTTCAGAGTTCAGCAACTTATCTATGCCTGCTCTTATTTCTGAAGTTAAACGACTTCATGATTTAGCATATCAGCTGGGTTTAGAGGAAGCAAAAGAAATGACTCGAGGGAAATATCTCAACATCCTGTCAAAACGCCGTCGATGATTTTAAAAATATCTTTTATTTGTATTTATCACCTGGTATTGTCAGTTATGTTATTATTAAGAGTTTGAAAAATGTTTTGAGTTTTATTGTCCTGTTTTGTAAGTCCTGCCAGACAACCTTAAGTTATAAGGGAGGAGTTATTAAATAAATTTTTAAAATTTAAGTCACCATTTGAGACCATAATTCAGATTTTGTTTTGTGTCTTGTTCTATTATTACAAATATTTGTTTGAGGTTTTGAGTTAATATACAATTAAATAAGTCTCTTGACTCTTGTGTATACTTGAATGCTTTGAGTTCATTACCATATTTGATGAGTCCCTCAAAAGTTACGTAAGCACTTCAGCAAGTTAAGAGCAAGGGTGGAGCTAATTCTGTATTTTGTATTTTTTCCGATTTTGAATGTATTGTGGTCTTAAGCTTACTCAAACCAAATCCATAACAAGCATTGTTGTCAAGTGAGAGATGTGTAATTGCCAGCATTTTAAGTGGGTCTTCTGACTCCTAATCAATCGAGTTATGTAATAAAATCAGTCGGAATTTGTTTATTACATTTCATGTTCCTTTTTTGTAAGAGACTGATTACAGACCGCATAACAGATATCTTACAACAACTTTTAATTGAGAGTTAAATGTCATGTGCAATTTATGTGCATAATGAGTAGAACTTTACAAAGAAATACCTCTTATCATTTTAACACTTTACAAAAGAAAAATAATTAAAAGATAAGACATAACCAAAAAAGGCAAAGCCACATAAGATTTCAATGAGTAGAGGGCAGGAAAAACATGATTGAAAACAGAAATATCCACATTTTTTTGTGGAATTTAACAAAACTTAAATTAAAAGATCACAGGAAATAAAAATAAAACACAGTACCTGACAACAACTTGACAGGTAAACAACACTTGAGTGTCCAGACTGAGTAAAAGGAATGCTCATGTCAGTCAGTCCCATGATAAAACTGTCAATTTTTTTTCAGCACCTTGAGTATTAAAAACAAAAACATTATCAAAGGTGTCAAACACCTTTAATGTTTGGTCTTTAAAAATATAATTAAAACTTAAAACAACTTGTACAAAATATCTCCTGCCTGTACAGTATTTATCAGTCATATACATTTATGATACATTAGCTAGTTGATTTAAGACAGCTATTTTAATTCTAATATCTACAGGGATCACAGGATTACTTTTGATAACTGCTGGTTTCTTTCAATCAGTCTTGCTTTGGCTGTAGTGAGGAAAACATTGACACAATTCAGAATTGTGTACAGCCTTGACTTCCGAGTGGTATTTTCTATTCAATGTCTAGAAAACAGGTGCATACCACACTTACAATTTCTAAACAGAAGAAATATTACAAATACTAAATCTGGATTTAATCTAGACTCACAAAGACATTTAATAAGATGGCATTCTATAAAAAATCACAATAGATTTCGTTGTATTTGCCACAGCTGTGCTGTCCTACTTTATGATTGCCAGATGTTCTTCACACATAGTATGTTACCTCTTCACCTTTCATTTTTGATGATTAGTACCTTCTCAGAGAACCAACTCATTGCGAGCTGTTGATTGAGGGCCCTGGATAAAACAAAAAATGCACTGTGAACCAGACAACATTTTTTTTTCTCCAGAAATGCATGTAGCTAAGAGGTGCAAATCACCTACCTTTAGAGTCACACGTAGTTCTCGCCTGGTCGGCCGGGAGCACGCTCCATGCGCTCCGTCTCGTTCTCTTCCTCCGATGCCGCTGAGGCGGACCTGAGAGAACTGCGGACCTTGAGCAGCGCACCGCTGCCAGCTGCCGCTGTCCGTTGTGCCATGGAACAGTTGTTGTTCGTGTGGCTTGACAGAAACGTCATTTCCATCGTTGTGTGCTTCTGAAAAATAAGTGTTCCAGCTTAAACAAAATATTTGCTACCTTTGTAAAAGTTCTTTGTAAATAAAAGTTTAAGAGGGTTTCAAGTTTACCCTAAGTATTAAATTTAGTTAAAAATGATTAAAAGGAGGAACTTCAACTAAAGGATCTCAGACAGTCAGTACCAGTAATATTGGGAGATTTGTTATTTACAAACCTTGTCATCCAGTGGGTTTCCAGTGATGGTGATGGTGTTAGCATGCATAAGAAGTCCGTTAGGTTGGAGGTGGCCGTTACCCATACTGGTATGATTGGCACTCAGTGTTCCTGTTGTCCTTCCATTCAGGGCAAACCCATTCACAACTGGCTCAATAGGCTTATCGCGGTCAATAGTTTCTGCATCATAGATCAACGTATTTTAAATTAGCAAAGGCTAGGGATGCTTCCACACACAAAATTAATTTTGATTCTAAAATTCTTTTAGTTTTAATTAGAATTGTTAACATGCAAACTTTCAAAATGTACACGTACATGTGCAAATATTAGACCTTTTATTTCTTTGATTGTTTGCAGTTCATGCAATCAACTTACCATGCGGGGCATGTGATGTATTATGAGGACCTTCTTGAGGTTGCTGGTTATGTCGATTGCACAAAAATACCAATAGAAAGAGGGCTAGAAGTAGCCCTAAGCCACCCAGCACAGCACCTAGCACCATGTACAACTGGCTCTGTGATGAGCCACTATCAGTGATGACACTTGGTCCAGCCTGTATAACCTGAGGAGGTGGCGTAGTCGTTTCACCTGCAGGATGAAAATACAAAAAATAATTCAAACCAAAACAATACTATCTAATTCCTAAATTTTCACTTCAAACAGGAGCAGCACTACTTACGCTGGGTTTTGTGAGTGCGGATGGCACTGAAATCAGATGCTGCTCCAACTGTAAAGCTTTGAAGTTTTATGTCATATGGAGTATCAGGCAAGAGATGAGTGATAATGTATTGTCTTGTTTGCTCTCCCTCTACAGTGGCTTTTACATAATCTCCTGCACTACTTGTTGCTCGATAGTAGACATAAAATCCTTCAATTGCTGGAGCAGCAGACGGAGCATACTAAGCAAAAGGAAAAAAAAAAAAAAAAATATAAATAAAAACAAACAAAAGGGGTTGATAATTACATCAATAATAATAATAAAAACACATACCTGCCAGTGTATCTGGATTGCAGATGGACTAACTGCTTCTGTTCTAGTCAGAGATGGAGCACTGAGGTGTGTTTTGAGAGTAGGAGATCCACGATGAAGGTGGAATCTTGCTGAATTTGGACCCAACTTGTTATCATTATTGGAATAAACAGCAGCAATACGGAATCTGTAAGTATGATCAGGTTCGAGGTTGGCCACCTCGTAACTTCTGATGTGAGGTGGAATGTCCTCATTGCTGGTCATCCAACGGTTTCCTCGAACACGTCGACCACCTTCATTAAATGTTGACAAGGTCAAAGGTCAGTATTAGTTAGAGAAGGGAAAAAAAAAAAAAAAAACTGTTCATAGTCTGTTAAAAAAACGAGAAAAAAACTTACCCCCTCTACCATGACCATTACCAAGCTCTCGGTATTGAACTTTAAAGAACTGAATTGGTAATCCATCATTGGGAGGTACATTCCACCTAACCATTACTGATTCATCTGATAAACGAGTAATATGAGGTTTTGTCGGGGGTATCATAACAGCTAGGTAGAAGGCAAACAATTAGATTATTAAATCATATTGGATATATTAGTACAAATTAAAAATATATGGCATGCACTAACCATTTCCTTTATGCTTCTTATCTTTACGTCGTCCCTTACCACCACCTCGCCTGTGTTCTTTTTTCCCAGATTGGTGATGACTTGAGGTAGAAGTTACGGTTGTGTGTCCAAAGTTACCTGGAACTGTGAAACAATGTAAGAACCACTTTTCATATTCTCTCCATGCAATAATGCTAAAGATTTTTTGAAAATAAAAAATACTGTAAATTTTAGATATGTGAACTACCTTCTATTTCAGTATCATCTCCCTCTGCCATATTATCACTTCCAAGCTGTGCAGTAACTTGTTTAGGCTTTACTTGCAGCATTGCAGAGCCATAGGTGGTGCCCTGAGCATTGGAAGCCATACATTGATAAATACCAGCATGGCGCTTCTCTAATCTTGTAACTAATAGAGTACCTCCTAAAAAAAATAATTTTAACATTTAATAGGTTCCTTGTTGCAAATTCCTACAGGTGCAAGTATATTTTTGCTGTGCACTGAGTCATCCTTACCATTAGACTTGATGAGGGAGTCATTATTTACTGATTCTCCATTTAAAAGCCAAGTAATAATGGGAAGGGGCTCCCCTTGGAATTGACAGTCTAGTTGACAAGATTCACCCTCTTCCTTTAATGATGTTTTAGGAGGCTCTGATAACAAAGTTGGTGATTCTAAAAAATAAAAATAAAGCAGAAATACATCATTGTCCTCAACTATTTCCTCAGATTGTTTCACTTTACTTCAGTATAATTTTAAGCAGCACACACTACCTTGAACAAATAATGAAATTACGTGTGATACAGCTCTATGGACACCATTATTTAACTCGCAAACATAAGTTCCCCTATCTAATGCTGCAACATTTAGTATTCTTAATCCACCGGGAATTTGATCAGCTTGATTTGGAAGAGGCCCATTCAGTCTTCGCCATGTCACAGTTGGAGTGGGATAACCAGTACCGGCACACTCTAAAGTGACATTGCTCCCTAGAAATTTTTTAAAAACAACTTAGTTCTGAGGTTAAATTTTCAAAGAAAAATAATTAAGATTGCATTTTGTTTAGTACTTACCAGCTGATACTGTATAATTATCCTCAGGCCTAAATGGAAACCGGGGTTGTTGTGGTTCAGTGCTCCGCGTTACACGAAGAGAAATTTTTTGATGTGAAGTTCTGGTGTTTCCTGTTATATAGTTACTTGCAGAGCAAGTATAAACACCTTCATCTTTTTCAGATACATTAGGAAGGACTAAACTGCCAGTTGATGAAATGACTTGTACTGATGCTGCTTGTTAATGAAAAAAAGAATTAAGAGTCAATGAAACAAATTTATATATTAAGAGAGACAGATTTATTGTAAGGTGAGACTTACCAGGAAGATTTTTTTCATCTTTAAAATATTGCAGGACTGCAGGTGGATTGCTACTGGGTGATTGGCAATGAATTAAAACTGTATTCCCCTTTGAAACTTCAATAACTTTATCGACTGCAAAGGGGAAGTCTCCCATTTGAGCTAGACTGAGGTGGGCTGGCACTGAGGCTAACGCTGATGCTCCATACCAAGCAACACACTGAAAAATCCAAAAGATAATTTATACAAAAATAAAGAAAAAAAAAATCAGTCAAATGAATGTTTTTGACCTGTAAATTATCCACAAACCACACAGTAAAGATATCTTACCTGGTAGTCACCAGTTTGTCGGTCATCATTTACTCGCACAATGAGCTGGTTACTACTTTCAGGCTTGCCATTGTGAGCAGTGTGATTAAGATAGCGACCATTATGGCGCCATCTCACCTGCTCAGCAGGAACATTAAGGGAGCAATCAAATGTAACATCATCACCTGGAGGAGCAACAAATGGCTCTGGAGCTCGAACAAATCGGAGTCCAACATCTACAAGCAAAAAATAAAGAGCATTTCATTTAATCCAAACCAAACTTTTGGAGGAAAACCAACAACAATTTAAAAGATACACACCTGCAGATGTGGTTTTGGAACAGACTAGTAGCACAACTATCTGAAGTGCTAATATAAGAGCACTGAGGGGGCGCTCCATGATGCTGCCACTTTAGGTACATCCCTAGACAAAGAGACAGACATAATTGGTTATTCAGTAAAATGCCATAAATGAAACAGGTACTTTTAAACAGGGTGGGGAAGTGGCAACTAACAATGTTTGACTGTCTCCACAAAAATGATTATCAGTGGTTTTCATTGATTGTTCTTTGAGCACTTATGTACGGAACTGGCTTGCTCAATAGTAGCCTGACTAATGAAATATCTAAAGACATCTTTAAGTTGGACATCTTCTTTTTATGTCTCTTAATCTTGGTTGTGTAAGTTTACACAAAACCCAAACCCCAAAAGATAAGGAAGACTAGTGCAAGTGCAGTGGCAATGTGTTGTTTGAAGTTACAATCACAGGGCAAAATTGCACATGCTCTTAAAGAAATTTTCAATGGATATTTTCTTCCAAATTTTTTAACACGATGGCAATAAAATTCAGTAACCTTTGTTTGAACACTGATCTCTTTGAGTTGACACTGTGAGTCATCCTACTGATGACATAACTCATCTCAATCAAAAATATTTTGATTTTCTGGCTTCTTTGTTTTATTTTGGGGTCCAGCCTTTTCCCCTTAAAACTCATCATGAACCCCAAGTGCACTTCCATAATAACGTAGAGAAAAGTCTCCAACATTGCATTGAATAGACACCCCAGGCTCAGGGTGTAGTAGCGACTTGAACTTTGAAAATAAACAAACAATGCTGCCAAACTATAAATCAAATAAAGAATTTTCCCTCAAGAGTTAGATTCTTCAGGGCTTCCAGATGTCTGAAATGTTGCATGATACAATGAAATAGCATTTCCCAGTTTGCTACCCTACATAAATATGCACTCTTCACAAAAAGGAGTAAGGATACTGTCAAAACAGGAGATATTCAATATTCAGGGTTCAGGGCCTACCACGCATCCCGCGAAATTTTGAAAAATAATAATTGTACATGTTAGAGGAAGCAAGTTTAAATTTAAACTTCTTTGGAAAAGTACTAATTCAACTTTTCCAAAATTTGCATGAGCACACCATTTTTTGTTTAAGCTAGTTACCACGTTTAGGACCTCAGGACAAAACCCAACATATGCATCCGCCACACGGCATCTGTATACAGGTGGCTCGTATCGGGGAGTGGTGGACCGTGGACGGGGTGGACGGGGACATGAGTAGGAAGATGGGGTGGGGGTGAGAGTGGGGTTCGTGAGAATGGCAGGTACAAGAGGGAAGAGGGGGGGGGGGGGCGACAAACATGCACATGACAGTCCACTCAGCCGCGACAAATCCGACGGATTGAGGACAACAAGAAGACGAGGGTCTAATCCGTCGGCAAACCGTGCTGTAGCGGTGCAGGTCTGTATAGGCTAGCAAACGCAAGGGCAGAGACCACTAGTCGTAAACCAGATCAGTGCAGGGGCGGGATAGGCGATACCTGGTCAGACCCTCCTGCAGGACACCTGAAGGTGCGACGGCTAACAATCTGCGAACAAACAGCCAGGTCCGGCGCGGACATCGGTCGCGCCTGGCAAGAGGCTGAAGTCCAGGACTCTCCTGCAGTCCCGGGGCCGAGGTCAATGGACAGGGCAGCGCTGCAGTTGCAGGTAGACCGCCGCCGCAGCTGCAGGCTGGCCGAGCGCACCCGGTGAGCCACCGCGGCAGGACCTGCTCCACCCGCCCGACCCACCACCTGCGCCCTACCCCGCCTCCGACTACCCTCACCCTCCCCACCTGTTGCATATCCACCCCTTATGAATGGTTGCGGTTCGAGGGCGGCGTTGTACGTCCTGGCGCCGCTTTGCGGTCCGCCATCCAGCCCCAGCACGTCCCCGACCATGTCCCATGTCACCTGCGATGCTCACCTTCCGAAACCGTGCCATTCCACATTTTACTCCAGTGGGAGCTGCTTCGTAGAATCCACAGAACTGGCAGCGAGGGGCGACGACACGGCGTCCACCTGTCGAACCATCGGGGCGGAGGAGCGAGCTGGCGGCGGCCAGGTTTACATTCCAGGACACTGGCCGGGCCGGGCCTCTCTGTTCACAGCACAGTCCTCCCGGACTCACTCACTAGCGTACAGGGCACTGTTTGGTCACACCACACTCGCGAACACGACACGGCACTCCACACTCCACGACCCTCGTCCTGGCTTGGCTTCAGCTCGCGCTGCGCGGGGCCCCACCGATCACGACCACGACAGTCCGTACGGCGTACCTGCCCGGCTCGACGCCTCCCGAACAACTGAACTGAAGTGAAGCCGCCAGCCGCCAGCGCCAGCCGCCAGCCTGCAGCCAGCCAGCCAGGACCCCAGGACGAGGAGGCGGGGAGGGGCGGGGCACGGCGGCGGGAAGAGGACGAGGCAAGGCGACGAGGGCCGGGCGAAGGAGGAGGATGGGGGAGACCGCGAGAGGGGGAGGGGAGTGCGGCAGGGCAGGGCAGACTCATGTACCGGCTAAAGAATGCGGCCGGGCTTGGGCTCAGCAGGGCTCACTGCACACAGCATGGGCCGGGCCAGGGAAGGCTGCCCGCCAGCTCGCCTGCCCGTCCCGCCCGACCGGACGGGCTCGCGCTGGTCTTCCTTTGGGCTGTCCAGCGACGGCAGCAGGCAGGCACACTCAGCAGAGGCAGCACAGGGACGCCAATCGCCTGCTTCACTTGAGAGCCCCTTGAAGGTGCAACGCAAAGCCCCCGAAGGACAGGAGGAGGGAGGGCTGCAATGCGTTGGCTGCGGTCGCACATTGTGCGCAGCGCATTGTGCAGAGTGCGTTGCTCGCGGCGACTAGCTGCGACTCATCCTCATCCAGCGAGTCGGCCCCGGTGGACTCGCGGGGGCCGCGGTGCAATCGGCGGGACAGCCACTGCAGCAGCTCGGCGTCCCGTGCGCGTCGCTGCCGCAGAGAACCTCATCCCCGTCGTCATCTTATCGCAGTTTGGGGGCGTCCTCCTGTCCTGGTCAACAAGCCGTGCGGTCCCCGGGGCGCGGCGCCCGTCTGTCCGCCCGGGCCCGGCACCAGCGGCGCTTCATATAGCGCCTTTGTCCTGGCGAGCGGCCAGCGTGCTGCGGCGCACCTCCCGCCCCCGCCACGCCACGCCCCTACGCCGTGCTGAGGTGTTCGGATCTGCCCGTCCCGTCCGTAGCCTACCTGTCATTGTTCCCCCGTTTACTTTTGCACGCGTTTCTCTGTACACTGCAGTGTCCTTCCTGCTCTCGCACTCATTCTCCCCGAACCCCCTGCAAACCCAGTTACCGAGAAGCTGACAGACCTCAGATCCGCGCCCGGAGCACGACATGGGTCGTCCTCCTCTCGTCGTCCTCCTCTCGTCGCCCCCTAAGCGCGCCAAGTCCTCTACCAAGTACTTAGATCCTAGTTCATCTATCCCGTTGCACGCTGTAGGCCCGGACCCGCGCGTGAGGTCCCGACCGCCTGTCACCCGGAAGAGCTATAAGCGACGAGGGCCCATCTGGGAAGGAGACGGAACACTTACCGCCCCTCTGCCACCCTCAACTCTCCCCTCCCCTCCCGCCCC